ATATATTATAGTCGACGGTGTCAGAAGGAGAGGACGACCAAGGCGGAAGTGGAAAGACTGTTTGAGATCTGATTTGAAGGATTTAGTCCTTACTGCGGACATGACCTCTGATAGGAAAATATGAAGACTTAAGACTAGGGTAGCTGAATAGTGCGGGTCTCATCCATAGGGTATATCATCTCTGTCTTCTTTTAATGCCTTTGTAGTACTTTCCATGACTTCTACTTTTTATACGTTTATGTTTTTGGAATTTATGAATGCTTTAGAACTAGGGTAGCGGAGTAGTGTTGCCTTAGTTTAGGTTTTAACCCATTTGACTTTATTAATATTTTATTCATTCTCGTAGGTTGCTATCGTTGACTTCTGTGTATCATTCTCTTCATGTTTCCTCTTTTTAAATTTAGTCGGGTTTTACGTTTCAGTCTATACGCAGAGATTTTTCGCAAGGAGTTCAACTATTTATTTATTTATTTATTTATACATGCACTGTATTTTATCTTTATTTTTAATTGTCTAATGTCGGAGGTCTTCCACGGAAGCTGCTCTCAACCTGGCGTTGGGGGCTACCTACTATCCTACCTCCCCTTACCTAATTACATATGTGAATAGAGTTTTGTTATTGTTGTTGTGTGTATTTAACTATAAAAGTAATATTAACACTCACCTTGTAAAGTGAATAGACGCTATTTGCAAAGTACACTTTTGATAATAGGGCTTCTAAGTGAAGCAAATTGCGACAACCCCTGTTTATTTAACTCTATTTCCAAATGTAATTGTTACAGTGCTTCACAATTCGTCTCTACATACTGGCATCAACAACACGAGCAAAGTAACCATACTTAAAAAGGTTAATCGGTACACTGCTGCTTTATAGAAATTACATTCAAGTTCAATTAAATCCTTTATCAATGATTTAAACCTGGGCAAAAGTGCCCAGATAACGCTATAGGGAGTGTTTAATTCCCAAACTAATGTGCTCATCCAATTAATTCTTCAAATGAGGTGTTTTCTATAGTAGATTTTGGATCTCTCGACGTCTTTAAGATTGAATCAGATTTTTTTGGGTCTTGCTTGGGATCTGTCGGCATCTTATTTGAGATTTTCGGTGTCTTGAGGATGTTGGATTGTTTATGGGGATATCTAGGTGTATTTAAGTGAAATCAAGAATTTTTTTTTAGCTTTTTTACACAAATATCACCTTAACATAAAGTAATTACTTGTTAGGCACTGTTTAAGAATATTTTACGGATCTAGCAAAATTTTAAGAATACCATTTTAAATTATATGAAAAGTTTTGATATTTTATAAATTTATTTAATTATAAAATATTTTAAAAAATATTATTTTAAAATATAACACAAGACATACACATCTTTTAGGATGGACTTATAAATTTCGATCTTACAACGTACGAGATTCATGATAAAAGACACTTTCCTTTTCATTAAATTTGTGTAAAATACATTTATCGATATATTATATGTAAATATATGTTAACTATTTTTTATTTAATTTTAATTTAAGTTGTATATAATTTTGAGATATTTATTCTTTTTTCCTAGATACCCATAAAATAATAGCACGTCAATAATAATTTAATGATTTATAAATATTAGATTAAATTGAAATTTAATATTAAGTTGTACAAAACTAAAAACTTATATATTTTATTATACATTATACTAAAGTTCCGGTATATTTTTGACCGATACTTTTTGGTGTTAAACTATTATTGTAAAAAGAAGAGAGAATGGGCTACAATGGAAACATCATTAAGCGGTGTGCCACTGATATTTTAGGTGAATTATATACTTAGTAAACTAAATTTTATAGAAAGTATTTAAAAATTTACTAGATCCGTAAAATATTCTTAAACAGTGCCTAACAAGTAATTAATTTATGTTAAGGTGATATTTGTGTAAAAGGCTAAAATTTTTCCTTGATAACTTAAAGACGCCTAGAGATCCCCATAAACAATCCAACACCCTCAAAACGACGGGAGATTCCAAACAAGACGCTTGAAGACGTCGGGAGATCCCAAGCAAGACGCCGAGAGATCCCAAATCTACTGTAGAAAATACCCCATTTGAGGAATTAATCGGATGAGCACGTTAGTTTGGGAATTAAACACTCCCTGTAGCGTTATCTAGACACTTTTGCCTGTAAACATGGGCTGTCGCCTCACTAAAAAGAACACTTATCAAGCACGTGCCTGGTTGAATATGACTCACCAAAAAGAGTTTGAGGTATTTTTTAAATTTTCTATTACTCCTAACTCTTTAGTTTGATGATTGACAAGTCAAATTCATCACTAAAACTCCAAAAACTAAACCATATCAAAATTTCATTTCAAAACTCATTTTACAAATCCATTTTTAATTCACTCCTCTTGTTGTTTTAATTCTATACAAACTTTCCTTAAACTTACATAACACCCAAGCTTTCAATACCAAACCAAAAATTGAAGGAACCAGCAAATTTACAAAAACTTATCTTTGAT